GCCCCCCCCCGCCTCCCCCAGCCCGGCCTCCCTGGGCCCAGCCTCCCTCGCCCCAGTCTCTCTGAGCGCACCTGCCGATGTGGACCTGGGGGCGGCCGCAGAGGAGGGAGGGGCCCCTGCGGCTGCAGGCAGGGCCCCCACTCCCCCAATTATCCCCCCTCAGCCCCGGCCCAGGAGCCTCGCCTCAGAGACCGACTGAGCCGGCGGCTTCTCCCTGACAGCCCTCAGCATCCCCTCCTCCCCACCTTGTCCTCCCAGGACACAGCCCTCACCCCTCCCAAGGGGGTAAGGGCCTCCAGCCTTTGCCTACAAGTGCCTCGGTGTCCGCTGGGTCGGCCCCCACGGCAAGGAGGACTCAGGACAGTCCTCCACTTCCAGAGCTCTTACTCTTGGATCCACCCTGGGCTTGGGGGCACCCCTCAGCCAACTCCCCACTCTCTGGCAGGGTCCCAGGGGAGCCGCCGGAAGGAAGGAGAGGCTTGCCTGCTCCTACAGGACTTTTATTTTTCTCTTGCTAACATATTTTTTTGTAAGGCTGGTAAATAAATTATTTTGGACAAAACTGGAGCAGCTGCCCAAATGATAGTTTTATTTTCTGTTCTTGAAATAAAGAAGCCACTTTGATAAAGGGGAAAAAATTACCTATTCTTTGCCTCCTTTCTTTTTTCCTGTCTGAAATAATAACAGCCAACATTTTTAGCACTTACTCTGTGCTACCCATTGTGCATTTCTATGCCTGATTTCCATTTAATCCTCTTCCAGGGAAGTAAATCCCATTACCTCTTACAGGTGAGGAGACTGAAGCTCAGAAAATGACCAAGGTCACATGGCAAGTGAGGCATGGACCTGGCGCAAGTCTGCCTGATTCCAGAGCCTGGATCTGTCCCTCACATCCTGAGCAGTTTATTTAACTTCTTGGAGTTTCCTTCATCTGTGAAAACATTTAACAGCTTCCACCACAGAAACGTTGGTTTGAGGATTAAAAGAGACACACTTGTGAAGACCAAGGTACCGCCCCTGCACACAGAAGTGCCCTATAAGTGATGACTGCTTGCTGTTTCCCCCAACCTGTGGCGTTCTCTGTTCCTGGAGAAGGCAGGGAAGGCTCCCCCGTGGAGCAGGGATGGATCTGTCCTCAAATATTCCCTGAGGCTGCTCTGTGCCAGACTCTGGGCTAGGTCCCAACTCAGCCCTATGCCCTAGGAGCTCCTGGGAACGGACGGGCAGGAGAACTGACAATTAGAATCAAGTGTCATGGGGGTTCCCTGATGGTCCAGTGGTTAGGACTCCACGCTTTCACTGCCGAGCGCGCAGGTTCAATCCCTGGTTGGAGAACTGAGATCCCATAAGTTGCGTGGTAAGGCCAAAAAAAAAGAAAAAGAATCAAGTGTCATGGCACTGGGAACCCATGTTGGCACACTTAGGGGCAAGCCAATTAACCCAGACTGGTTGTGTGTGTGTGTGTGTGTGTGTGTGTGTGTGTGTGTGTGTTTATGTGTGTAGGGTGAAGGTCAAGAAGGCTTCTTGGAGGAGGTGATATTGAGGGGGAGTCTTTCAGGAGCTGGCCAGCTAAAAAAGGGAAGAAGGAAGAACATTCCAAGCAAAGGAGACCACCTATGCAAAGGCCAGGAGCAAATGCCCAGGGCACTGAGAAAAAGAAAATATCAGCCTCAGAGCCTGAGTGACAGGGTGTGGCTTTTCCCAGGTCTTTGAAGCTCCAGTTGCTCCTGGGGGTCAGACACGTCTTCAGAACCTTCTCAGAGGTTGGCAGACAACCTCAGAATTGTGGCACATTCCTCCCCAAGTGGGGACCTAGGCAGCTGGGTCCCATCATTGCCCTGGGCAACTGGCTACTGCTGCTCTGTCTCCTTCCCGCTCCAGGGTCCTCGGGTGACAGGATGCCTCTAGCCCAGTGCCTCTCCACTCTGGCCTCACAGTAGAATCCCTGGGTAATTAAAACGGCAAAGAAATTTTGAAATGCCGGGTCTCACCCAAAACAATTAAACTAGAATTTCTGGGATCCTGCAACACATTGGTATTTGTTGTTGTGGTGGTGGTGGTATGCAGGCCTCTCACTGTTGTGGCCTCTCCCATTGCGGAGCACAGGCTCCGGACACGCAGGCTCAGCGGCCATGGCTCATGGGCCCAGCCGCTCCGCGGCATGTGGGATCTTCCCGGACCGGGGCACGAACCCGTGTGCCCTGCATCAACAGGCGGACTCTCAACCACTGCGCCACCAGGGAAGCCCCACATTGGTATTTTTAAAAAACGGTTCTCAAAAGTCATGGAATTGGACATCCCTGGTGGCTCAGTGGTTAAGAATCCGCCTGTCAACGCGGGGGACACGGGTTTGAGCCCTGGTCCGGGAATATCCCACATGCTGCGGAGCAACTAAGCCTGTGCGCCACAACTACTGAGCCTGCGCTCTAGATCCTGCAAGCCACAACTACTGAGCCCGTGTGCCACAGCTACTGAAGCCTGCGCATCTAGAACCCGTGCTCCCCAACAAAGAGAAGCCACCTCAATGAGAAGCCCGTGCACCGCAAGGAAGAGTAGCCCCCACTTGTCGCAACTAGAGAAAGCCCACGCACAGCAACGAAGACCCAAAGCAGCCAAAAATAAATAAATAAATATATTTTTTTAAAGTCATGGAACTGTACATTTAAGATCTACACATCTTACTGTATGTAAATTATATCTCAAAAAAAAAAAAATCGTTCCCCTGGGGACTCCACCACACAGCCAGAGTGGAGAACCACTGGTCTAGACCAAGGGCTCCAGCGTCCGAGAGGACACCGTGTGCCTCTCTCCTCAACACACCCACACTCTTCTCAGGACCTCGCTCGGAACTCAGTGTGATCACGGTTCAGAGAGCAATGAGATTTGACCCAAAGATAACAGCTCCTTTAGCATCTGTTTTCCTCCTAGCAACCAGCCGTCTTAAGCTTCTGATTGGCTGGGGAACGCGGAGTGGGCCATATTTTCTACTTGTAACTCTTTATTGGTCAAAAGGAGCGTCAGTCTCTCAGCCTCCCATCCCTGCAAGAAGCTAGTTAGGGCTGAAGCTCAGCGACTACTGGCCCAGCGGAACTAAGGGGAGTGACGAAGGACCAGGCTAGGCCGTCGTTGGTCCCTTTCCCTCGGTGGCGGCCGCGATTCCGCCCTTTTCTCCAGGTTCCCTTAGCTCGCGGCCCAGCTCCTCCCCGAGACTCTAGCCCCCATTGGCCGCGGGCCAGGCCGTGACCCCGCCCCCTGGCCCTTGCGGCGCGCCGATTGGCAGGTGCCGGAAATCAGCCAGCTGCGGACGAGCGCGCCGTGCTCGCAGAAAGAGAGCGGCGCGGCGCGAGCGTGCAGGCAGCCAGCCGGCTGCATGGCGCGCTGCGAACGGCTGCGCGGCGCGGCCCTGCGCGACGTGCTGGGCCGGGCGCAGGGGGTCCTTTTCGATTGCGACGGGGTGCTGTGGAACGGCGAGCGCGCCGTGCCGGGCGCCCCGGAGCTGCTGGAGCGGCTGGCGCGGGCTGGCAAGGCGGCGCTGTTCGTGAGCAACAACAGCCGGCGCGCGCGGCCCGAGCTGGCCCTCCGCTTCGCGCGCCTCGGCTTCGGGGGGCTGCGCGCCGAGCAGCTATTCAGCTCCGCGCTGTGCGCTGCGCGCTTGCTGCGCCAGCGCCTGCTCGGGCCGCCGGACGCGCAGGGCGCGGTGTTCGTGTTGGGCGGCGAGGGGCTGCGGGCCGAGCTGCGCGCCGCGGGGCTGCGCCTGGCGGGGGACCCCGACGAGGACCCGGGCTCGGCCCCGCGCGTGCGCGCCGTGCTGGTGGGCTACGACGAGCACTTCTCCTTCGCTAAGCTGAGCGAGGCCTGCGCGCACCTGCGCGACCCCGACTGCCTGCTGGTGGCCACCGACCGCGACCCGTGGCACCCGCTCAGCGACGGCAGCCGGACTCCCGGTGAGCGCGGGGCTGGCGGGGAAACTGAGCTAGGGCGCTTATGCCTCCACTCCTGCGAGTGGGGTGGGGAAGGGGCGTATCCAGGTGACAGGTGGGGAACAGGAGGGATGTGAGGGCGGTCCCCACCCAGCAAGAGCCCAGGATGCTTCCATGTCCACATGTGGTAATTCTTGCAACCGTCACCCTGTGAGGGGCAGCAGTGGGGTCCCGGTTTGACAGATGAGGAAACTGAGGCCCATTGTGGCTCAAGGAGTTGCAGGAGGAATCCAGGGCCCCGACTCCCAATCCTAGCCTTTCTGAACCAGCCTCAAGGGCTCCTGTCATTTTCCCCACCCGCCATCGGGGTGAGGTCGGAGAGTTGGGGACAAAGCCTGGAAGGATTCCCCCCGCCACCGTTGGAGGTTTGGAACAGGAGTTTCTAGCGGCAGGTTGAAGGCAGGTGTGCGGGGAGCACAGAAGGTGGATGCAGTTTGACCTGAGTTCCAGTTCCAGCTCCAGGGCTCTGTAATCTTGTTAAGTTACATAACCTTTGAGCATCTCTGCCCTGCGTGTAAAATGGGAATAGTAACCATGACAGTTTCGCTGAGGAGAGAGTGATCAGGATGAGTGCCTGCCACACAGTAGGTGCTCAGATGATGTAAATTGTATCCAAGACCTCTCCTATTACAGAGCTTTATGAAGCACCTTGGTGTCTGTTATTTAGTTTCAGAATTACTCTGGAGATGGAAGGTATTGTCCCATTTCCCAGTTAAACTGAGGCTAAGAGAAGGAAAGTGAGCCACCCAAGAAAGAGCAAGAGGATCTGAACTTGGATCTTGAGGCCACCTTACCCCCAACCTCTAAACCCCACCCCCTCCATCCAAGGCACTCTTCACTGCTGTCATTTGGGAATTCAGATCTGCAGAGAAAGCAGGAGCAAGTGAGCCTCCTACATCTTGGAGGGTTCAAGTTAGACAAGAGCAGGTGGTAGCAGAGGCTGACAGTAGTGAGTGTGTGTGTGGACAGGGACACACACTGAGGGCAGGGACAGATCTCCATGACTCACTCCCTGCTGGCCACTGACTCGATTGATACCGAATCCTAGGAGGGCAGGGTGGAATCGATTGAGGAGTAGACACAGTATTAAGATGGGTGGCAGGGAGGTCCTAGAGCTGAGGAGATCTGGGAAAGCTTCCTGGAGGAGGCATCTTGCAGGACAGGGCACTAGGGAATGGAACAGGGCTGGAGCCATGGCAGAACCAGTTCCAGGCTGAGAATCTTATAGTTCTAGGCCCGTCTTAGCTTTGCTGCATGACCACTTCAGTTTCAGTTTCCCCATAAATCCAAGGTGAGGGCGCTGGTCAGGGCTCCCAGCTGCACTAGCTCCTGCCTGCCCTAGGCCATGCTATGAAAAGTGAATTTCTTTGGAGGCCTCAAAGCTCAGGTTAAGGTTTGGGGTTCAGAAGCTCCCCCAGGGGCTCAGGAAGGATGGTGTGGAGGAGCTAGGGAGAGACCAGGCCCTGCCCACGCGTGCCCCTTGGGTCTCACCACCCATCTGGCTTTGCCCGCCAGTTCTGCTGGTCATTCCCACAGCCAAGAGGGGGAGACAGAGCTTAACAAATACAGCGCTGGTGTCCTGTTTGGGCACAGCTGAATCATGCAGCTTTGAAAGTGGAATAAAAACACTAATAAAGGCCCCAGTATGCATAAAATCTGAAATAATGCTAATCTCACCCCAGTTCCCCCTCCCCAGTCCCTATGGGTCTGCTAAATTGTGTGTTTACCTATCTACCATGTGGCAGCCACTTGAGCTGGCAAATAGAAATGCCTGTTGTCTTAGGAATACATCACCAGCAAAACATATGCCAGCCTTGGATGACAGGATGTTGAGAAGAGTGGGATGTAGTGGTCTGAGGACACAGTTACGTTCATAGACTCCCCTGCTTGGATGCTCGCTCACCCAGGGTACGGATCTTAGTTTCATTCACTGCTTTATTCCCAGTGCCTCACACAGTGCCTGGCATATAGTTGGGCCTCAGTAATATTGGCTGAGTGAGTGAGGTGGGACATAGGGGGCCAAGAGGGATCGGCTCCGACCTGGTAGGAAAGGAAGATGCTGGGACTTCCCTGGTGGCTCAGTGGTTAAGAATCTGCCTGCCAATGCAGGGGACACGGGTTCAAGCCCTGGTCCGGGAAGATCCCACATGCTGTGGAGCAACTAAGCCCGTGTACCACAACTGCTGAGCCTGCGCTGTGGAGCCCGGGTGCCACAACTGCTGAGGCCCACGCGCCTGGAGCCCGTGGTCTGCAACGGGAGACGCCACCACAACAAGAGGCCTGCACACAGCAACGAAGAGTAGCCCCTGCTCGCTGCAACTAGAGAAAGCCCCCGTGCAGCAACAAAGACCCAACACAGCCAAAAATAAATAAGTAAATTTATTTTAAAAAGGAAAGGAATATGCTGACAGAGCTACCATTCTTTTTTTTTTTTTTAATCTTTATTATTTATTTATTTTGGCTGTGCCAGGTCTTAGTTGCGGCATGCAGGATCTTTAGTTGCAGCATGCATGCGGGATCTAGTTCCCCGACTAGGGATCAAACCCAGGCCCCCTGTATTGGGAGCACGGAGTCTTACCCACTGGACCGCCAGGGAAGTCGCCAGAGCTACCATCCTTGAGCTGAGAAAATCACTTTGGGGTGACGCAGTTGAGTTCCCATCCTGGAAGGAATTTCTAACTAACAGGGCAAATGGCTTTTCTTCCCTACCCAGTTCTCAGGAAAACAAGCAGGCAAGTTCTAGGTCAGAGGTCAGGGAGACCTTCCCAACAGGGTTGCTCTGGGCCAGCTCTGCCTTGATCCTAAGGAAGTTCCTCCTCGTCTGGGGGCCGCAGGGCTGAGGATTCTTCCTGTTTGTGCACCTTCTGTGTCTTCGGCTTAATCAAGTTGAGTATCATCCCCTACGAGAAGGGAGACAGGAGGCCCAGAGCATTTGGGGTCAGACCAGTGGAGTACTGATGTCTAGTAACTGGGAGAGTCTTGATTTATGCCTTTTGCCAATTTCTGTGGCGTAAGTACTCCCCCCACTGTGGCTGATTTCAGCCTACCAACGTGAAGTCACTTATCATGGGGCTGGGAAGATATGTACACACCATGCTGTAATATTTCCATCATTAGGATGCAAGTAACCTCAAAAGCATAGATAATGGTAAAATAATTAGGAAGTGATGAGTTTTGAGAATGTATTACCTTTGTTTTAAACATATTTCACTTGATTGTTAAGTTTATATAAGTTGACTTTTAATAGTGGCTTTGTTTAACCACCAACTCATTTCAGAATTCCTGAAAATGAAACATTCGGCACTCCCAAGCCAGTACAGGCTGGCCCTGCATGTGTCTGGGTCAGACCTACCTGAATGCATATCCGTTGTCTGCCACTTACTAAGCTGTGCAACCCTGGACAAGTTACTTAACGACGCTGAACCTCAGCTTTCTCATCTGTAAAATGGGCGTTCATGAGCTCCCACACAGCCCCTGGCACTTTAGAATGTGCTCATCATTAGTGTGAAGGTAGAACATTCTGGCACAAAGATGTACCCCTGAGACGGGCACAGTGGACTCATTGTGTGGGACAGGATGGTACTGGGCTGGGAATTAGCCTTTTCTAGACAGTCCTCCTATTGTTAAACACTTGGGTGCGTTCCACAATTTTGCTTATTATAGTTACTGAGGCCACGGACATCTTCAAGCATGTAGCTGTTTGTCTCCAGTTTGAATTCTCGCCTTGTGATCACTTTCCCAGTGGAGGCTGACTGGGTCAGAGGTGCGAACATTTCTGTGCCCTGCTGTGTTCCGAAAGGGCTGTGCCAGTTTCCGATGCCAGGAGCGCACATTCTTGTAGCAATGACCACAACTGCTGTTTGTTAAGGGCTTTTCTGTTTCCAAAGCACTTGCCCCTGTGGTGCTCACAGCACCTCTTTGAAGGTAGGTATTACTTGGATCCCCCTTTCCAGTGAGTCTAGGGAAACTCAGAGAGGTTGGCTTGCCCAAAGGCGTGTGGCTGCCTGGGTAAAATTGTGAACCACACACAGGGCTGAATGAGCCATGCAGTGGCTCATTCAGGCCTTACAATACCCACATGAGATACTGCCGTTGATATCCCCATACAAGAGATGGGAAAACTGAGGCACAGGGAGGTTAAATAGCCTGCCCAAGAAAGGTGGAGATAGGGTGTGAATGCAGGCATCTGGCTGCAGAGCCTGTGCCCTTAACCCCTACACTAAGACTTGGAAGCAGGTGGCCTTTTAACTCATTTCAGTGCCTAATTTGACCCCCATGCCCAGCTGCCTCGATGGGAATTCCAGTTTCCGGGCCTGGTTGCTTTCCCCGCTGCCACCCGCATTAACCGAGTCTCCATGTCCCTGCAGGCACCGGGAGCCTGGCTGCCGCCGTAGAGACAGCCTCAGGCCGCCAGGCCCTGGTGGTGGGCAAGCCCAGCCCCTACATGTTCGAGTGCATCACAGAGCACTTCAGCATGGACCCCAGCCGCATACTTATGGTGGGCGACCGCCTGGAGACCGACATCCTCTTCGGCCACCGCTGTGGCATGACCACCGTGCTCACGCTCACAGGCGTCTCCCGTCTGGAGGAGGCCCAGACCTACCTGGCAGCTGGCCAGCACGACCTCGTGCCCCATTACTATGTGGAGAGCATCGCGGACATGATGGAGGGGTTGGAGGACTGAGCCCACCTGACCGGCAACTGCGGCTGCAACCCTTGCTCACCCTGTTCCTGTAGGTGGAGGTGATGGGCCAAGAGCTGCATTAAGGGCGACCAGCGCCCTGGGCCCAGTTTCTACCCTGGTGGGGCTGGAACCCAGGGAAGATGTCAGGGCCCTCGGACCCCCTTCCAGCAGTGGCTGGGCACTCTGCTGTCCCAGAAGCTGCCCCCCTCCCTGCCACTGGTTTACCCTGGCCTGACCCAGCCAGGTGGCCTTATATCCTGCCCTGTGACCTCCGCTTGTTTAAACTTGGGCCCTGCTGCCTTGTGAGGACTTCCCCCAACCCTGAGCACTTAATCCCCTACCTCCTCCCTGGGGCCTCTAGGGCTCTACCTGCTCCTGGGTTCCTACTGACCAATCAGAGGTCTAGGTAGCCATGAATCATTATTGTCCTGAGCCCTGAATGGACCGATCAGAAGGCTAAGTGATAGTGACTCGATGCTGTTGGGTCTTGAGTGGACCAGTTGGGAGCCTAAGCGACAATGACCCTTTCTTGTCCTAGGTCCTGGGTAGACCAATCAGGACCCTAGGTAATAATGACCCATTAGTCTCTTGGATCCTGAATAGAACAATCCAGAAGCCTGAGAGACAGTGGCCTCTTGACAATCTGGGTCTGACTGGACCAGCCAGGGGTCCAGATTTCTGTTCATAAATAGGGGTCCAAGTGTGAAGACACCCCTCCTCCACAAAGGGGGCCACTTGGTGGCTCTGGGGGCTTCTGTAGCTGAGAGCCCCACCCTCCCTGATCACGGTACCAGACCAGTGTTGACGGTGGTCACAGCTTGGGAGGGGGGCTTTTGTGGCCCGCCCCCCATGCTGTCAGTGTTTGCTGTGCCACCTCTCCACTGCGCCCACCCCCAGCTATTTATTATTGCGTGCCAGTGATGGTGGGGATGGGGGCTGGGCCTTCCCTGCCACCTCCACCCTTGTTGTAACCAGTCCTCCCGTACTTAATAAAGTGCGAGTGGGAGTGTCTGTGGGTTGAAGTCTGTGTCCAGGGTGGGGCGGGGGGAGGAGCCCCTGCCTGAGCCTGCTCTCCCCGGAACTGGCCCACCTGCCATGTGAAATGATGCACCCCAGATGCAGAGTATTCTCTGTGTGCAGTGGTACCTTAGCACAATAGCACTTTATGCCTCACTGAGTCTTTATATACCAATCTGTCTCAGTCCTTCAGAAAATCCAGCAAGCTTGCATCACTTTACTCCTTGGGGAATGAGCATCGTAAAGGTGACGTTAAGCACAAGGGCACAGCCCTGGAAAGTGTGATCACCTGAGGCAGGATCTGAACTTGTGTTGGCTGACTCCGAGAGGCTGTGGCCCCTCTCAGTGGAGACAGGTGCGAGACCGGGCCTCACCCTCCAGGAGGCTCAGGTGAGGTGCTGCGCACCCCCCTCCATTTAAGGCATCCTTCACACCTGGGCTGCTGCTGTGAACGTCTGCCCTGCTGGCCTCGAGCTTGCTCAGTGCCTTCTGCAGAGCAGGTGGCCATCTGTGAGCTGGCTGAGGGTAGGACTTCGAGGTCTGGAAAATTCTCTTCAGTATGATTCTTCTGGGGAAGAGGGAGTACTTGACTGAGCCTGGCTGCATCAGGAAGTGGGAGCAAATGTGCTCTTGTGGAGACTTCTGGTTGTGACAGACTTGGCTCAACCTGGCTAAGGCATAAGAGAGTTTATTGGCTGCCCCATGAGGTGGTCCAGCACCCTCCAGGTGCATTCCTCTCATCCTCTCACTCTTCTGGGCTTTGGGTGTGAAAGTGGTTGCAGCTATTATGTGATCGCAAAGCATGGCCCAGTATATTTCTCTGCTTGTGACTCTGCTTCAGAAAGATGGGAAGAGATTGTTGGGGTTGTTTCCTCCAGACCTCTAAAAGTTGCAAACCAACAGAAAAAGTCTAAGAACAGCACAATGAATACCATATGGCCTTCACCTGGACTCCCAGCTAATATTTCAGGAAGCTGATGACACCAATCCACAAAATGAAACAACTCCTTCATATTATACCCCCTGGTTTCAGTAGTTACCTAGTTTTGCCTCCCTCCTCCCCCACCCCTGCATGTTGACTACTTTCTTGGTGACCAGAGGCCTTAGGGGTACTTTCTGTTGTCCCTGCCATAATTTTTTCCTCTGGGGGTGGCTCTGAAACAGTGGCCGAAGCTCAGACTCACTGAAATCTGAGCTTGGTCTAGCATCAGAGTCCCACCCAGCACTCTTTATTTCATCTTAGCTATTACAGATAAGCATAACCACAGGACTGTTTTACTTTCTTCGCAATTCCTTATGCATCAGTAAGCAAGCTCCCCAGGACTTGGAGCCATGTCTAAATTCCATTGGTAACGTTAACCTTTCTTTAAAAAAAATTATTTAGTTAGTTAGTTAGTTAAGAAAGCACATAGGGCTTCCCTGGTGGCGCAGTGGTTGAGAGTCCGTCTGCTGATGCAGGGGACACAGGTTCGTGCCCTGGTCCGGGAAGATCCCATATGTCGCGGAGCGGCTGCACCCGTGAGCCATGGCCACTGAGCCTGCGCGTCCGGAGCCTGTGCTCTGCAACGGGAGAGGCCACAACAGTGAGGCCCACGTACCGCAAAGAATAAAATAAAAAATAAAGCACATAATCTTGGGACTTCCCTGGTGGTCCAGTGATTTAAGACTCCACACTCCCAACGGAGGGGTCACAGGTTCGATCCCTGGTCGGGGAACTAAGATCCCACATGCCACACAGCATGGCCGATCCCAATTCTTCCCACCCACCCTCTTTTCCCCCTTGGTGTCCATACATTTGTTCTCTACACCTGTATCTCTATTTCTGCCTTGCAAACCAGTTCATCTGTACCATTTTTCTAGATTCCACATATATGTGTTAATATATGATATCTGTTTTTCTCTTTCTGACTTACTTCACTCTGTATGACAGTCTCTAGGTCGAAAAAATATTTTTTTTTTTTTTTTTTTTTTTTTGACCGCGATGTATCGCTTGTGGGATCTTAGTTCCCCGACCAGGGATTGAATCCAGGCCCTCGGCAGTGGAAGCATGGAGTCCTAACCACTGGACCGCCAGGGTATTCCCTCACGTTTACCTTTAGACAATGCAGCACAGCTGCTGCTCATGCCATGGGTGACCACGTGACCACATAGGAATCAAAGTTTCCTCATCTTGAGCCGTTTCACACTTTCTCTTCCCAAACCACACGTTTCCATGAGCCAGCACCTTTGTAGCAAATCCCACTTCTCTGACACCAACTGAAGGAAAACTGTTTCCTCTGCGCACAGAATACAATACTTCTGACACCAAACGTGTGGGTTTTCTACATCAAGCAACTCACCAGTTTTCTGCAGACACCAACTGGGTATCCTACAATCTATCAATTGGAGTTAGTGCAGACCCCACAGGTTAAGTGCTCAGTCCCCCAAGACTTTCCCCCACTTCAATGCCAGTCACAAGTGTCAGGTCATCACCTGGCACTCTGACCAACTGGCTATAAATCAGAGGCTCCCACAACTCCCTTCTCGGGTCTGATCGTTTGTTACAACGGCTCACAAAACTCGGGAAACACTACGAATACGGTTTTATTATATAATAAAGGATATGATAAAGCTTACGGACGAACAGCTAGATGAAGACATATACATAGCATGAGGTCCCGGAGGGTACAAAGTGAGGGGCTTTCTGTTCCCGTGGGGTTAGCGTGTGCCACCCTCCCAGCATGTGGATGTGTTCACCAAACCAGAACCTCTCCAAACTGTGTGGTTTGGGGATTCTCATGGAGGGGATTCATCACATAGGCATGACTGATCGACAGTCTCTAGTCCCTCACCCCTCCCTGGAGGGTGGGGGGGCGGGGCTGAAAGTTACAAGCTTCTGATCACTGCTTGGTCTTTCTGGTGACCAGCCCCACTCCTGAAGCCATCCAGGTACCCACCAAGAGTCACCTCATTAGAACAAAAGAATATCCTATCACCCAGGAAATTCCAAGGGAGTTAGGAGCTCTGTGTCAGGAACTGGGGTCAGAGTCCAGAATGTTAGAACAAAAGATGCTCTTTCAGGCACCAATATCACTTAGGAAATTCCAAAGGATTTAGGAACTCCGTGTCAGGAACTAGGGTCATGGACCAAATATACCTTTCTTATTATGTCACACTCCCCAAATTTTAATTTAGAAACGTTTCAAACCAACAGAAAAGGTGCAAGAACAGCACAATGAACACTCGTGCCCTTCACCTAGATGCCCAGTTGTTCATATTTGTCCGATTTGCTTAATTGCTCTGTATATATTGGGTTGGCCAAAAAGATTGTTCACTTTTTGGCCGATCCAATATCTTCACATTTTTTAATTGACTCATTCGAGAGTCTGTTGCAGATGTGAAGACAGTTCATCCCCAATCCTTTAGCTTGTCGGTCCCAAGAGCAAGGATCAATTGTGGATTGTGGTTGTGCAGAAGAGCAAGGACTGTCTACACGGCCACAATCCATGATCATGTAGGAACCCAGATCTTTGATTTCATTGAGCCACTGGATTAACCTACCATGGAAACCTCCTAGCTCCAGACTGCTTGGTATGTGAATTTTCCTTAATTTTCAAGCAGTTTTCGTTGAGATTTCTGTTATTTGCAACCCCAAACTCTCCTGATACACAGGTCCCAAGCACATTATAGAAAACATTAAAATGTACCCACAGCCCCCATTAAATATATTTATGGGGAGTTTTTGCTATACATTTTTCCAAATATTTTTATGCTTTTGTTTTAGACATTATTTGACTATGGGGATCTAATTTAGGAGTGACCAACCTCTAGAGAGAACTGGGCACACTTTCGAAGAAAATTCAACCCACAAAATTGTTTTCAAGGTAATACAATTTTTATGACTACCAAGTGTTAGGTTTGAGCACAGTAAACATTCATTAATTTCAGCCCTTCAGTCTTAGAATTTTGGGGCCAACACATTTTTTTCTTCAAGTCTCAAATATTTTCTAAGCTTTTAGAAAACTCTTAGCTTCCTCTGAGTCTATAATTGTCACCCCCGCCACCACCAAACGTTTAAAAAAGTAAAAAAGACTCATGCCTGAGCCCTGGAGGGCTAATGAATGACAGCGTCTGGACCCCACCCAGCCCTCATATGAGAAGTGGTTCCCCAAAGGCGAGCTGGGGCCTGTGTTCAGAGGGGGACAAACACCAGGTGGGAAGGCAAAAGTGACAGGGTGTACTGTGTTTGGGGAGGTGGCTGTCTGGGGCAGGTGGAACAGCATAAGCAAAGGCAGGGAGGCGGGACTGGATGAGTGGGTAAGTGGGGAGGCGGGCTCCAGCACAAACTGGTTGGAAAAGTATCTGAAGTTGGGGGCATCCCCCAACTAGTCCTTCCTTCATGGAGCAGGAGGAAAAGATCATTTTGAGGTCCAGGTAGCCCTGGACCACAGTGTTCTTTCCTTGGCTCGGCAGACGAAAGGGCTGCAGCGCTAGCTGAGTGTGACCCTGGCCACTTGGCCACGCTCTCTGGGTGGTCTCTGCATCATTAAATGAAGGAGCTCTGGAGGCTCTGACCACCCACACTTTCCCCAGCTGAGCCAGCCAGGTTGCCTGGGGGTGTGGATGGTGTCTCGGTGGGCTGCCAGGCCCAGTCTCCACCACACCAGCTGGAGGAGGCGCGGCCTTCACGGGGGGCAGGGCAGGAGTCGGCAGGCTGGGAAGGGCCGTGCTGGCCTGGATGCCCTGTCTGGACAAGCTCAGCTCATTTCTCATGGCAGCAGCCAAGGTCCAGCCCATAGCACCAGCCTGTAGGATGGAGGAATTCCAGAGAGCTCGCTGCCTCTGCGGCAGGCCAGTGCGGGGGAGGACAGTCCCTGGGTGGGTGCCCCTGGCCTGTGCGGGTGCAGGAGAGGGAGCCGATGCGCAGCCCTCTCACATCACTCCTGTAATCCTCCAAGCAGCCAGACGATTACACTCCTGCTACCCTCCAAGACGGGTGGCATTCCCACC